CCCGAGAGCCCGGCGGCCGAGCGGGGCGCGGACCTGGGCGCCGACGAAGAGCAGCCCGTCCCGTACCCGGCACTGGCGGCCACTGTCTTCTTCTGCCTCGGGCAGACCACGCGGCCGCGCAGCTGGTGTCTCCGGCTGGTCTGCAACCCATATCCTTCTCGGGTTGTCGGGGTGTAGGGATCCGGGGCTTGGGAGTCCAGTGCGCGGGACCCCACTCGCGTGTACCTCCCACGCCCGGCCTCTTGGACCCAGCGCAGGCTGAGTGCGCAGGACAGAGGCGCGAGGGTAGCGCTCCTCCGAGAGAGGCGGCCGCGGGCTGCGCTTTGCGGGGCGGCGGGGGCGGCTCCTGTGATCCGAATGGGGTGTCCCCGCTCCGGAACCACCTTGGGACGAGTGGGTGGAAGAGAAGCGTCGAGGCCACCGCGGCTTGGAGTGGAGAGGGGTTGGTAGAGAAGGGAGGTCGGAACTCCCTGCGCCCCCATGAGTGCAGGTCTGGATGGGAATTCTCCCCTCTTGGCTTACTGAATGTTTGGCCTGAGGCAGGACCCTCGCTGGGGAAGGGGAGGCTGGCGGGACCTCGGTAAAGGAGCAAAGTTTTCACCCTGCGCCTTGCGCTTTGGAGCGACCGGGAGACCCTGGAGGCCGGGAAGCTGTGCGCTCTTGCTGTTCGTTTTCCCCGGAGAGAGTCGGTGACGTTTGTTGTGAACTCGCCTTTCCAGGCTGAACTCGGTGTTGGGGCTGATTTAAGTCATGCGCAGCTGGGGGGTGGGGGGCAGGGAGGCAGCTGGCACCGCGCACTGGCACACTGGTGTTCCTTCTCCTGGTGCTCCGCTAGCCGGAGAGGAAAGGGCCATCCTTTCTGCTCCTGGTGAAAGCGACACAGACTTTCAGAGAAGGTTCCGGAGCAGAGCTGGGTTGGGCATGGGGCATTTCTGGGACGCAGGTAGTAGGTCTGGTGGCCCCCAGCAGGCAGCTTTAGGGACTGTCAGCAGGCCTTGGTTCATTCTGTCCCAGCTGGTTCTCCCGCTGGCCCCAGGGACCTGGTTGCCAGGTGGCTGGGTCGTGGGCTCTGGGCATTCCCGCTTCTTGGCCTGGAAGGATTGGGTGTCCAGGGTGTAGGGGTGCCAAAAAGAGGCTGACAGAGGCGGGACCTTGCCTGTGAACTTTCTCTGCATGGAGACAGACGGAATGAGCAATGGGTGTATGTGTTTTCCTACCTTGTGTGTTTAACTGTGCAAGTATCACACACAAAAGAGGAATCTGTCAGAAAAGTAACAAACCGTGTTTTTTTGCTCTGAAATCTAAACTTGTGCAGAGTCAGGTTGAAGGGGGTCATTGTGGTCCCGGTGGAGGGTGGTGGCCTGAGGGCCACCCCAGCATGACAGTAGACTCCACTGCCTGCCTTTGTCCCCCACCTCCTGGGTGGTCTTGCCCTCTCCTCCATCCTCCACCCCAGCAGCTGCCAGGCTGTCCCTGCAAAGTGGCTGTAGGCTTGTCTTCTCTCCAGAACCCAGCTTGGAGATACTGAGCTCCATCGTTTTGGCAGGAAGGTGGCCTGGCTGGGTGAGGTGGTTAAGTGTCGAGATGAGTACCGTAAGGCTTTGGGACTGGAGGCCGCCCTCCCAGCATATCCGTTATTTCCAGGCGTGAGCAGAAACCAGATAGAGAAGAAGCCCAGTGGGGCCTGCACTTTCTCTCTCCTGACAACCCCCTTGTCTGGCTGTTCTGTCCTTTTGCTGGCTGCTGAGGGAGTCTTTGAGTCTGACCCTGTATTCTGGGTGTTTAGGGTAGGTTGCGTCCTTTGGGACGTCTAACAAGGTGGTTTGTGTTACTTAGTTTAGGGGAGCTTGAGGGGATACCGTAGGCAGGTGGGATGAGGACCAGGGGGTATAGGGGATGGGGCTGGTGGGGCTACTTGCTGGTATCCCTGTCTCTGGGCTTCTTGAGACCCCAGGAGGAGGATGTCCTGCATCCCTAGGAGCAGGAAAATGCCAGGAGCAGGAGGAGGAGGGCCCTCAGCCTGGGAGAGCATCCCTTCTGACTGGCAGTGGTGTGGAGGAGCGCAGGTCCAGGATCATTTTACCATGGCTAGCCTGTGGAAATTATGCCTCTGTTGAGTAGGGTGGGCTTGTCAGGCCCCTGGCGTACAGGGACGGCTGCTGATCTCTAGCAAATGCCAGACCCTGGTGCGGGGGTGCATTGGCTGCAGAGAGAAACTAAAATAAGCCTGTGTGCTGGACAGGTGGGGACCTTGGGGAAGCCCATGGGCCTCAGCAGGGCTTTCCAGAGCGCTTCGGATTCCTGGGAGTCGGGAGGGGCAGCCTTGTGAGAGGCAGGGGTGCAGCGGGTAGTCTGGTTTTCCAGGGACTGCTTGGTGTCTGCTTTGCAGCCCAAGGATGTGCCTTGGCCTTGGTCTCCGTCTCACTCTCTGCAGGTGGATGTCACATTGGCAGTGCCCACCGTCCTTGCCTGGAGCCTCTTCTGCTGCAGAAGGTAAACTTGTAGAGGGAAATGGGATAATTGGGTTTGCTCTGGGAACCCACACTCCATAATGCAACTCCTTGCTCCCCAGAGGCTGGCAGAGTCCCAGCCGATGTCCTCTGAGCCCAGCCCCTAGGCGGGATTTGATTGGCAATTAGAACACAGGAAGAGGCCTTCCTTAAGCCCTGGGCTTTCTGGAACCCCCACGTAGATGGCCCCCTACACAAATAAACACGTGTGCTCTGTTTTTACCTTAAAGGGTATCGGATCCACGCAAAGGAGCTTCCAAGGATGGCCCTTATCTGTATTGATTTATTTTGCTTTTTGAAAATATAATTGTGCTAGAACTTTTGGGGCGGGTGCTGTTTCTCCTACACAGGTTTATTTATAGAGGAAAGTGGGTGGGATCTATGTGTTGTAGCCCGCCCGGCTGGGTTGTGTTCTGCCCGGGCTCCCCCAGGGTTCTTGACTCGGTGCTGCCTGTGATGCAGCTGCCACGTCCCAGCACCCAGGCCGGGCGGGGCCTCCCAGGGATGCTTACTGGCTGGGAAGGGAGCCCTGCCGCAGTCCCTGTGTGAGCCATGGAGGCCAGCTTTGTACCCCTGTGGGGAGGTTTGGAGACCAGGAGGTGGCTGGGAGGTCCTTGGGGGCTTGGGGATGGTGAACACCTCCAGGAGGTATGTCCTAGGGACTGGGTACCGAATTCCCCAGGCACAGGACTCGGGGAAGACAAAGGACGTGGCAAGGTCACGAGGCTGCTGGAGGACAGAGCTGGGTGAGCCCAACCCGACTCGGGTCTGTATTTGGCAGAGCCCTGCCCGGTAGGGAGTTGAGGCTGACGAGTCCAGGTCCTTGAAGGCATCTTGTAAAAATCAGTGCCCTGGACTGTTGTACCACTTGTTCTGTGGTTGCTGCCAGTGCCTGGGTTCCTGGCGGCATGGGTGTCCCAGTGAGGACACACGGGGCATCGACGTGGAAAAGGGCAGACTCCCATCTGCTCTCACCTGCCCCCAAAACCCCCTCTGAGTGGACGTTTCATGTCCCCCTCACCTTCCTGACCCCATGGCCATGACCCCTGAGCACTTTGTGGAGCACAGGCCCCAGGGGTGCTCCCGCCTCTAAACCTCCTCCCCACCCCAGTACCTGCTTCTCATCCTGGGTCTGTCATCCTGATTCTGACGTGTGTTTATTTCCCTGGACTTGGAGTCCTCAGGCCGCCGTGCCCAGACTGGGGGCCTTACACCTCCAGGCTGGTGGGCCTGTGTGTCTGCACGGGGGCCCTGGGCTCCCCAGTGTTCTGGTGCTAATGAGGCCGCCTCGACTTACTCTGACTGGAAAAGAAAGGAGTTGCAAAGTGTGTGTGTCTGCGAGGCCAGCTGTGCCCCTGTGGGGAGCTGCGTGTTCCCCTGCTGTCGCCTCATGTTCTGAGGGCATGTGTTGTTCATGCTGAGCAGCAATTGTGTGCCCCAGGCTGGGGAGGAGGGTGGAAGTAGACGACATCTGCTGAGATAGGAGTTCATGGTAGGTGGGTTTCCTGGGGAAGGGGGCATTTCCCCTGAGAGCTGGGAAGGGCAACAGTGAAGAGGTGGATCCTTGAGCACCTGCAGGAGGTGGGGTGGTTGCTTGGGGTGTGAGGCCTTTGACATGGGCCTGAGCTCTCCTTGATCCCTGAGTTAAGAGTAGGGCTGTGCTGCGTCATCCTTCTGGTTTCTGTGCTCAGGAAGGCTTCCTGGAGGAGATGAGGCTAGGCTGGGCTGGGCCTTTTGGGTAGATAGGAGAAGGAACAAGAAGGCTTGGGGCAGGTGGGGTGTAGAAGGGGGAATTCGCATGAGCTAGGATTTGCCTGCCCAGGAGGGCCCTGGCTGTGTCCCTCCCTCAGTGCTGTATCCCTCCCTCAGAGACTGCCCAGGAAGGGTCTTGGCTGAGCCCCACTCTCCAAAGTGGCTTGGACTTCTAGCCTTGCTTCATGCCCCACCCAGGCACCTACAGGGCCCTGATCCGGGCAAACAAACAGTTGGTGTCTCTCCAGCTTACTGGTGGCCTGATTAGTTGGCAGAGGCCAGAATGCGCTGATTAAGTGCTGTGTGTGTGGCACAGTGAGGCCAAGTGTGGCCCCCGCCCCCACATCTGCTGCCCAGCTGGACCCTGGGGATGTTCTGGGGGCAGGGAGAGTGGTGCGGAGCTGAGCAGGGGCTCCTGTGAAGGCTCACTGGCGGGTGGCCTCACTATACAAACCTCTCCAGGTCTGAGCTCTGTGCTGGGCCCGTGGGGTTCTCCCAGCAGGCATGCCCTGGGACTTGGCAAACTTGCGCTGTGTACCCAGTGTGGCCAGCATGATCGTGATGGGGTGCTTGGGCGGGATGAGCTAGATGAAGGCTATTGGGGGCTGGGAGCCAGGGAGGCTCTCTGCTCAATGGACACAGAGGCCTATCAGGGGAGGAGACCTGGAGAGAGGATGGATGTAGAGCAGGAGTGTTCTAGGCAGAGGAACGGCATGTGCAGAGGCCCTGAGGCAGGTAAGATGTGTCCATGTAGCTGGAGC